AATGAAACTATCTGGATGAGTTTGATTTTTGCAAAATAATTACAGTAACGAAATTTTTTTGATGAAAAGTTTGAAAATAATCATTTAAATGAAATTTTTTTCATTTTTTTACTCCCTGGGTGTCGATTAAAACAAAGTGATATCTATCTATCCGTTATTTGTTCTAAATATAAATAAATAAAATTTAAAATCATTGTACTTCATAGTATATTTTGTGATCATATTTATTGAATAATGAAAAAAATCAAGCAGATGTTTGTAGAAAAAAAATGCTCAAGATGTAAATTGTGCAAGTTTTTTTTTTCAATCAACTATATAGAATATCACATATTTATTTTTTCTGCATTAATCAAATTTATTTGACTGTAAAACAAACAAAAAAAACAAGATTATTTATGATGAAAATCGACTGTGTTTTTGTACACCATTTATTTTATTTTCATCAAGTAATGGAATTGTTGTTGAATAATTACAAAATTGTACTGATGCTTTTTTACTTTTAGTATTATTCTCAATTGGCGTCTTATTTGTTTGATGATCAATTGCAGATTTATATGTTGATAAAGGCTCACAAGCTATTGATACATTTAATTGATGTTGTGTTTTCTTTATTGATGATTGCATATATGATAATGCTGATTCACGACGATCAAATTTTTGACAAGAAAAACAAAATGTTTGTTTAAATGTATCACGAAAGGCACGTGACATTAAACAATAAAGAATAAAATTAACGGAATTATTAATTAATGCTAATATATCAAATGTATCACCTACAAATCAAAAAGAAAAAAAGAAATCATAATTCTATTTATCGAAATAAATATTTCAACATACCAAGTTGTTGATAGATTTGATAGTAATATTTTGATTTTTTCTTTGAAAGAAATGCTAAAAGTAATATGGCACCTTGAGGTAATTCTGTAATAAGAAATAAAACACAGACAATAACTAACATTAATGTTGTACGACGGTTTTCTTTTTCACGTCTTCGTCCACGTATACGTCCATTATTCATCATATTCAATGATATTATTGAATGTTTTTGTAATCTTTCAGCTTTTGCTAATGCATTTCTTAATTGATGTATTAATAAAAAACTGAATACAAGTAATAAAAAACATGGAATTAATTTAAACATAACACTGTGTAAAACAAAAACTGTTCCACGCAATGATAAATATTTACTAAGTTTTGTTTCTTCAAAACGATATAATGGTAATATATTTGTATAGTTTTTTAATGATGATGTATCATTAATAAAATTTTCAACAATACGATGTTCTATATATGATGGTATACAAAGTAGTGTTGAAACAATAACTACGGTACTAACACCAATTAATGCACGATCTGCTCTTGAGACAGATGCTGTTAGAGTTCTACAACTCAGAAATACATAACGAAAACCAGCAAGAAGAACTGTTAACCTAAACGAAAAAGAAAATAGTATTAAGATATGTTTATCAAGGAAAAAATAGTCTAGTTTTATGCTCGAACAAATATATTTTACCAATTCGTGTGTAGATAGGTTATAATAGAAGAATCTCAGTCAGCAGATATAGACCAAATTAAATCAAAACAAAAATAGCATTCCCCGTAGTTTTAAGAAAAGATTTAAAGTTCACTCTTATCTCTATTTTATATTCTAAAACGTACATGAATTGATGGAGAATTTTATTCTCTACATTTTGAAAAAAAAAACACTTTTTAATTCACTATTGAATCATAGTTTGAAAATTTGGTTTTTGCTAGTGGCGATAAATAATGGTATTGAAAAAATAAGCAATGCGATCAGTCTCAATATCAACTAGTGCATGAGGAAGAGCGTCGAAAAAGATTGAACACAACAGGGGACTTTCACGAATTTTTCTTTATTATGAATGATCGGTTTACAAATTTTATTTTTTTCTACTAAAAAGCAACCCGGGTCAATCGATACGTCTATCCGTATTTTCGCCGTTTACGGTCAAAAATAGTGTGTAATTAACAGTATTTATCCGTAATATTGGGCACAGTAATACAGAGCCGTATACGAGGCTGTATTTTTTCTTTATACGACGGTATACGGTCCGTTTATACGTCGTAAAGTAACCGTAAACGGTCGTATACGAGGCCGTATCTTTCGACCTGGGAAGTTTAAAATTTAAAATTAATATGAGACTTGTAGAAAATTAAATTCTCTGCAGGATGGGACTTTCCTTATTTCTCTATGATTTGTACTAAAATTGGTGTGATCAAAATACTTTCAGTGCATGCGTATTAGTCTTGATAATATACACCAGCAAGACGTGTCATCTATCTACCAAAACATATTTCGTTTATAATTTTCGAACAATCTACCGTAGAAAGCTGGCAAACATCTTATTTTACAGAGGAAACTCTTATCTAATGTTCTTGACTTTAATTGCAAAATTTATAAGCAAAATACAATGAATAGGAGAGATGGCGCCTTTTGCTTATCCATATTATCAAAACTTATATTACACGTGTGTGTGTATGTGTGCACTAAAAGTTTTTCGGGGACACCAATTTTTGTACATATTGTAGAGAAGTAAGGAATATCTCATCCTATACAGAAATGAATTCTCTACAAAAAATAAATTCGAAAATCAATGACTCATCACAGAGGAATATTCGTACAAGTCCAGTATCAAACGGAATTTTTTCGCTCAAAAATTACACCGTTTTGTTCAGTTTTTGACGCTTCTTCTCATACGCCAGTTGATATTGAGATTGATTTTATTGCGTATATTTCAATAACATTATTCACTGTCGTCAACAAACATCAAATTTTCAAACTGAGATTCGGTAGTGGATCAAAAATGCTTTTTTCAAAATGTAGAGCACATAATTCTGCATCGATTGATGTATGCTGCAATCTTTTGAAACAAAACCACTAGATGAGAAAATGTAAAATGTTAAGTATCTTAAAATTATCATAGGGCACTTTTTTTGCTCTGCCTGACCTTGTAGGGCATCCAAACGGAAGCAAACTACGGAGCGAATTGATAACCTGAGGAAGAATTCTGATCCGTTTTATATTCAGTGTTCATGTGTTGTTTACATTATTTGAAAAGACGATGATCCATATATATAAGAACCATCATAAATCTGTTCTTAATCGATTATAAGTTTTAAGAAAAACTCTTGACAATACGAAAAATTAAATTAACAACCAAATATCAAATTATAATCGAGTGAAAATAATTTTATTTCAATTTAATCTTAATGAGAAATAATCCTTTTCCATTCAATGTCTTGTCATTCTTTCGCATGAGTACACGACACTAATACAATATTCATACAAAACTAAGATATTTGTTAATGAAAACAGATTATTTGTGATTGAATATCATCATTTATTAATACTTCAAGATTCATTTTTTTATCATTTGCTAGATGTATTTTTAATGTAGTACAAACTTTTGAGTCTCCTCGAAAGAGAAAAAGTTTGTGCTACATTAAAGATAAATCAGAATAAGTGTCACATTATTCGTAAAATATGTTGGAAACATCACTAGATGATGGAATTATATAGATGACACATATTCACGTTTAGAAAACGTTTTCAAATGACTTTTGATGAAAAAAGATTAGTAGGGCAAATAGTTCTGCTCTACCCTGCAGGATAACTAGAGTAGGACAGCCTTATCTTCATGATGGCCTCCGGTCCGGATTCATATTATATTAGAGCAAATATAAGTCATGACATTGAGACTATTTTTAATACACACAACATAAAATATGTGATGAATCATGAGTAATTATAAATTTATTTTAGGTATTAAATTTTGTTTCACTTCTGTTCTTTTCTTTTTACTTTGAAAACGAGTATCTTCTATTTATTCTATGATGTTCTATAAATAAAAAATAGCAAGTATATTTTTATACACTTATCTTTTAATGTTAATCAGTAAAATATATTCTCCTATATACATAAATAAATTCTCAATTTATTTAAAAATAAACACTTAATAATAAATCTTATATGAAAGAAAATATTTTTATTCTTACCATGTACTAATACAATGTAATGTTAATGCAACTAACATTTGTATCATATAAAATGTAACTTGAAAATGTGATGTAAAATCAGGTTCACTTTTACGTTCATTTATTTGTAAACAATAAAAAAGTATAGCTGCTGGTAAAACAAATAACATTTTAATTAGATCTGATATAGCTAATGATGTTAAAATTATATTTGTTGATGAACGCATTAATGGACGAGTTAATACAATGATATTAAATAAATTACATGTTAAACCAAATATACATACAAAACTCGATATAACACCATGATAAGTACGATAAAGAGTTTTATAACGAAAAAGTGAATTTTTATTATCATTATCATATATAGGCATATCATTCGTATCAATGATTGATTCAGATATATTTATTAGCAATTGTTGAACTAATGTTGAAGTTAAATATATATTTGTATCATTTTGATTATGGAATTGTAATGATGGTGGTGAATATGGTGACATTATATTTAAAAATAACTCAACTGGCAAGGCTAGAAGAAATGAAACATGACTAGAGATTTTACTAATATTTTTCAAAACTAACAGAAAATACTCAAATATATATATATATCTATGGGCGTGACCAACTTGGCTGATACCCCGTTTTGATACAGTCCTATTGTAAAGATAAAACATACTATTATCCGAGCCATATGAAAGAGGATCTAAGAGAACCCTGGATTGGCCTGAACAACATCATGTTTTATCCTTAC